TCATTTTTCACTCACCCCTTCCTACAGTACCACTTTTACAATCTCACTCCTGGCAGGGAACTTGCAATGAAGGAAACGCTGATTGCCACTTTTTGCTAGTTCTGTGCCATTGATGGGTCTGGTCAAATAAAAACCATACAGATGAACTATCTAAAGAAGTCCTGTTTTTCAGGGCGTCTCTAGAACTTTCTCTCAGTCTTATAGTTAGAAGGAATAGAAACATTTCAGCAAGAAGTTCCTTTTGCAGAGGGTACATTAAATAGAGAGTAAAGTAGTTTAATCTTGTAGAACTGGGTCTGTTTGAAGCCAGATCTTATGCTCTGGGGGAGTCAGTTGACTCGTGATAGTAGACTGGAGTGTCAGAAACCACAGGGTCATCTTAAGTTTTATCAAAGGGCAAAAGTTTTACAAGAATGTAAGCGACCACATGACTTCCTATCAGAATCCATTAATCTTCTAAGTTAATGTTCCTCAACCTTGGCAACTTTAAGATGTTGGACATCAATTCCCCACTCAACATTCCCTGTTGTTAGTTAGGGCTAGAGGTAGTCCTAATTTCTGTTGTAAGTCATGACAGTTATAAGTCAAGACACCCACATGACCAGACCTGATTTTATAACTGTCTTTGCAATGTTGATAAGCCAACATCAGGGCTGTTAAATGAACTCTGCGGTTGCTAAGTGACTCCATGCATTTTCACTGTCCGAAAAGGCTGGTAACCAGCTAAAAACATGGTAAATTGCAATCACGTGACTGCAGAATGCTGCAACTGGCCATAAAGGTGAGCCAGTTGTCAAGCAGAACATCCCCCATGGAACCGTCCCCTTCCCCCCACCACCACGCTGGTCCAAAAAAGTGGAAAGGTTGAGGAACTCTGTCCTAGAGGATAAGGCTGACATTTATATATAGCAGTGGTGGCGAACCTATGGCACGGGTGCCAGAGGCGGCACTCGGAGCCCTCTCTGTGGGCACACGTGCCATTGCCCCAGCCTTGCCTCCCCCCGCGATCCCCTCTCCAGCAGCCCCCCTGAAGGAGAGTCGTCCTCGAGCATGGCCCACATGGAGCAGCTCAGCCAAGGACATGGCAGCCAGGCAGCGTAGACAAGACTCTGCCCTCACACCCCATCATGCAGTTGATACTGCAGGATGTGGGCAGAGGGTGTGGCCGCCATAGCGCTGCTGGGCTGCCTCGGCGATCTGCGACGGGCCCTGGAGGCGGTGAGTGGTCTTGTGGTCAGACGGGGTGGGGCGGGGAATGGGGGGGCAGAGTGGGGGCGGAGCAGGGAGGTTGAGAGGGGGGGGCAGTTTTTAGGCACTCGGTCTCTAAAAGGTTCGCCATCACTGATATATCGGCTTGAGTTGTTCAAATTATTTACAAAAAGATACTCTTTTATTCTTTGCTTAAGAGATTTAATACATTGATTACTGATTTTGTGTTGACTTAAAAATTGTTGACCTAGTCTAGGGGTAGGGAACCTTGGCTCTTTTATGACTTGCGTATTTCAATACCCAGAATTCCTGAATCAGGCATGCTGACTCAGGAATTCTGGGAGTTGAAGTCCACAAGTCATAAAAGAGCCAAGGTTCCCTACCCCTGACCTAGTCATTACAACTAAACATATCAGATTATCAAAAACCATTCCTCATACATGCTTTCATTTGTTCACTTTGTTAAACCACAATGATTCAGCTGAAATGCAGGGGCTGTTTTCCGTAGTCTAATTATCATCAGCCCCTATCTTTCCAATGACATTTGTTGAATGTTGACATTCATTGAACTCTCCAAGCTAAAATTATCCTACTTAATAGATGCCATTGATTCAAATGTTTTGATTATCATCCCCTCATTTAACATCCACATCTCTGTCAATTTATCTGTTCTAAAATAAGAATCTTAACTCCTTGCTCCTATTCATCACATGCTGTGCCAGGAAAGTAAACCTGCTTCCTGGTTTGGATTCAGACAAGCCACCTTGATTTTTCCAAAGTGTTTCCAAGAAATATAGATTTTCATTTGAGCTAGGACAACCATTTCTAAATACACCTGGCTGGCTCTGGTCTACTTCACATATTCCCAGGGGTGTATGGAGACCACATGCTCTGCTTGAATGTCTGGATTCCTTCCATGTCGTGGTGATGTTTTGTGAAAAGTACTGGCTCCTTGTCAGATTTTTGGATGATGATTATTTTTTTTGCGTCTGTGACCAAATGTTATGAAAGCTGTCATAAACATCTGCCAACATCCAACTTCAAAGTCATCGAACGGGCAATGCACCAGAATGGAAAAGCACTGCCACATTAAATTATTATTAGATTATTGGTTGCAACAACTTTAGTTGCAATTAAAGCTACCAACTGCTTCCTGTAACTGATGATAAATCATATCAGAGGAACGAGGAAGTACTTTGACTAAGCAATATTTCGCAGAATCATAGGGCTTGAAGTGACCTTGGAGGTCTTCTAGTCCAGGGCTTTTCAACCTTTTCACCCATTGTACCACTTTTAGAATATGGCAATATCCGAGTACCACCAGTCGCCTAGCAAGGTGTCAAAAACTTGATGACCCCCCCCCCAAAAGGAAAAAAGTGATAAAGTACAGGTAGTCCTCGACTTACAACAGTTCGCTTAGTGACTGTTCGAAGTTACAATAGCACTGAAAAAAAGTGCCTCCCCAAGACACAGCCAAGCAAGACACCTGCCTGCGGCACTCTTCCTCCTGTCTGAGGTTTTCATTGTTGTGAGCATTTCTGTTGAGGATTGGCAACGGGGGTGGGGTGGGGGGTGTTTGGTTTTTATTCCCCCCGTCTGCTGGGTGGTTGCAGCAGGTTTTGGTCACTTCACATGACCCTGGGACACTGTAAATATGAATCAGTTGCCAAGCTTCTGAATGTAAATCACAAGACCCTGGAGATGCTGCAATATTCCAGCTGATTGGTGCTTCTGGGCTCAGCAGAAGCACCAGGATCACCGCTGAGCTCCAGCTGGAGCCTGGCGCTGATCCTGGTGCTTCCACTGAGCCCTGACAGCCCTGCAGCTCCAGCCATCTCTCGCTCAGGCTTGTGCGGTGCTGCCACCGGTTCAGCTTATTCCCCTCCCCTGCTACTTTTCTAGGATGGTCGCGTACCACCTGCCAGGTGCCAATGTACCACAGGTGGTACCCGTACCACTGGTTGAAAAGCCCTGTTCTAGTCCAACCCCCTGCTCCATCACTGGAAGTTTTTAAGAAGACACTGGACAGCCATTTGTCCGAAACGGTATAGGGTTTCCTGCCTGAGCAGGGGGTTGGACTAGATGACCTCCAAGGTCACTTCCAACTTTACTACTACTATCATCATCATCATCATCATCATCATCATCATCATCATCATCATCATCATCATCATCATCCCTGACAAATAGCTGTTTTCAAGCCAGAACTGCTTCTTTCTGGTCTTGCTTCAGCATTTCAACCGGGTTTAGGTCTCCTTGACTGTGACACAGACTTCATCCCTTTTCGTTAGACTTGTTTGGACGGCTGGGATCATTTTTTGCTGGAAGACTCCATCTTCTGAGTCTACAGACACATTCTGGCCAAGGACCACCTACAAATCTTGAATAAATCCAGACCATGATTTGGGCTTTTACTTTGCCTCTTCTCCCTTCTTACAATGTGGGGAATCACCAGCCTGACCACAATAAGCCCAGATTCTAGATTTCCTTTCAAAACACACACAAGAAAATCAATAACACTCTTCCTTGTTTCAGAGAAAAATCAATAAATAACGTATCTTTGTTTACAAAGGGACTAAGTAATTTATGGAAATATAGCCCACTATCTACCCAATTTGCACATAGAACATAAATATCTTAGGAGAGACCATTCTTTGTTTCTATTTTTTTTTTTCTAACAGCAGGGACATGTTTAAAAAAAGCACACTATCATTTTCCTTGTCAAGTCTGGCGCAGTAAAAGTATTCAATTCCACTGATTCTTTTTTGGAAGCTTCTAAAAAAAATCGGGCAAATCTTGCAACAATTTTAAAGCCCCTGTGGTTTAACTTAACTGCAATATTTACCTCCATTTATGCGCTGTCAGTCACCAGCTTTCAAAGGCAAAAAAAACACACAAAAAAACAGGCAAAGTTTTGATTTCGCATGCTACAATTCCCTTTTTTTTAAAAAAAAATAAAATAAAATAAAATTGTCCTACGTCCAACTGCAGCCTGTCTGTTTCTGCAGATTACCCCTGGTAATCACCTTCTTTTCTGCAATGGAAATGGTCTGTAAATTGCTCTTCGATAATCAGGGATGAGTTCGCCGGGGCCTTGCCTCACAAAAGCCGGAACTGTGCAATTATCATTTGTAAAGAGAAACTGTTATCAAAGTCACTGCGGGAGACATCGTCAGGACTTCTGTCGGAGTTGGGGAAATTTGAAACACATATTTCTCACACCAGAAATTTTCTTATAAACTCTCTTGAATAATTCATGAGGCTTGATTTAACCGCACATTTAATTCCTGGCATGTGCTGCGCAGAAAACACAATTCTCTTTAAGGTGTAGCCGCCTGGAAGCCAAGGGGCAATGCAGAACCAAATTTCCACACGTTCTTTGAATGCAATTCAAAACTTTTACAATACTGTCTGTTTTTCATGCCCAGAATCGGTCCAATCAGCCACTAGCACTCTGGGGGAACACAACAGATGCACATTTCAAATCCCTGTCTTATTCCCAGCTAAGCAAAGCAAGTCTGGGTTTACCATTCAATCAGTACTCACAGCTCAGGCATTAATGTCCCTGAAAAACAGACCGATTGGTGATTTCATGCATTTTAAAAAGGGCTTACGGAGGAAGATGGCCCAAAGCAAGAGAATTGTTTGAGCACTGCTGCTGAGCTAAGCAAACGAGTGGGAGCTGGATAGTGCAGAAACAAAAAAACAAAAATTCCTATAAAGCTGCTACTGTTTAATAAAAATGCATGAATGGGAAAAGGGGCTGCCGGACTCCTGATTTTTTTTGCTCCCATAAACCAACACGGCTCTCCTCCTCCAATACTGTACTTGCCTTGTAACATGGGAATTCATCGTCCGGCCTTGCATGGAAGAGTGTGGGAAGGAGGGGTAGGGTGGGTTCCTTACAGTCCTCTTTCTTTTGATTTTCAAGGCAAGCGTTCGCCAGGCACGTTTCGTGAACTGAAGATTATGGGATAGAAATCGATCAACAACTCAACAAAAAGATTGATAGGCACCAATGTGCTGAAGGATGGTGCAGTATTGGGTGGCCAGATTAAATTCAGGCCAAAGACACAAGCGAGATTAGAACTGGTCATTTTGTTGAAAATAGTTTCCTGTGACACCTGGAGAAAGAAAGACATAGAAATCAGAACATATACAACACATCTAGCAGGTGTTGGGCAGAAAGTATTAAAAAAAATCAAGATAATGACCATAACTGCATGACTGAAGCTGATCCCTTTTAAATCTACAATGCACCAAAGCCTTTTTTTTTGAATGTTTTAAAAAAAATAAATCTATTTTTCTATGAGTTACACATTTTCCCAACCAATAAAGCTCATGCTTTTCTCTTGTGGCTCCAAATAAAACAAGAGAAAATATAACTGTTAAACATACAGGAAGAACATGACATCTGCAGAATGTCTTGGGAACAGAACTCCAATAGAATAGAGAGGAATAATTCTGTCTGGAAAAAATATATATTTAAAACTGTATTCTTTCAATACTGCATTATATAGTATAAAAATAGTAACAAACTAGCGTAATATATGATATAGCATATATCTTATATATTTTTATAATAGTATGAAGAGCAGAGTTACTTTTCAGTGTGAGATGGATGGCATATATATTTAACAAATAAGCAAACACTATTAAACCACTTACATGCCATGAAAAGGAAACAGCTTCTATTTATAGTAGAACCAACCAAATTATGAACTTTGAGGAAGGTGTTCTCTCTTAGTAAAATGATAGGTTAACAACTAGTCTGTAATGGAAAAATGGTCTGCTATCTATTCATCCAGTAATGTTGGTACAAGAACACAGAAGGAATTGCTAACGTTTTGTAGCAGTGAGAGAAACAGAGCTGCAGAATTGGGAATCAGGTCCCTTTTAGTGCAATAGAAGTTTGGAGCTTGGCTCTAGTGAGAGAATGCAGAAAACTATTAACATTGTGGAAGATTACAGCTGGCAAGTTTTATGAATGATGGCAGAGTTTTGTTAAAGTTTTGCACTTTAGCAGAATCGTGCAGTTTTAGTCCCAAATTCTTCAGGTGGCCCCTGAAGAGAGAGATTTCCATAACTGAGCTACTTAGTCACAGTTACAGAAACAAAAACTCCTAGAAGGAGCCCACGTTCTAAAAGCTGCCACATTTTCTCATTGAAAACCATTCCTTGGCTACTTGTCATTAAGAACTGTGATTGGGTTATAAAGTAGCGATAACAATAATTCCACAAACAGTAAACGAAAGCACTAGTCAATTCTAGTTTAAAAAAATGATCTTTTTCCTAAAAACTTCAGTGAAGAGCAAAATCTCAACAAGGTTCTTCACTGCAAAGGGAAGCTAAAGCATATAAGGAACGGCTGCTGGAATTAGATATGTCTAGTTTAATGAAGAGAAGGATGAGGGGGGACATGATAGCAGTCTTCCAATATCTCAGGGGCTGCCACAAAGAAGAGGGAGTCAAGCTATTCTCCAAAGTGCCTGAGGGCAGGTCAAGAAGCAACGGATGGAAACTAATCAAGGAGAGAAGCAATCTAGAACTAAGGAGAAACTTCCTGACAGATAGAACAATTAACCAGTGGAACAACCTGCCTCCAGAAGCGGTGAATGCTCCAACACTGGAAGTTTTTAAAAAGAGACTGGACAGCCGTTTGTCCGAAATGGTATAGGGTTTCCTGCCTGAGCAGGGTGTTGGACTAGATGACCTCCAAGGTCCCTTCCAACTAATAATGAGGAGGAGGAGGAGGAGGAGGAGGAGAAGAAGGAGGAGGAGGAGGAGGAGGAGGAGGAGGAGGAGGAGAAGGAGAAGGAGAAGGAGAGGGAGAAGGAGAAGGAGAAGGAGAAGGAGNAGGAGAAGAAGAAGAAGAAGAAGAAGAAGAAGAAGAAGAAGAAGAAGAAGAAGAAGAAGAAGAAGAAGAAGAAGAAGAAGAAGAAGAAGAAGAAGAAGAAGAAGAAGAAGAAGAAGAAGAAGAAGAAGAAGAAGAAGAAGAAGAAGAAGAAGAAGAAGAAGAAGAAGAAGAAGAAGAAGAAGAAGAAGAAGAAGAAGAGCGGTCTTTTTACAACCCAGCCTGGCTCCTGGTGACTACATGATGGGTGTAGCTTTTTAACAAAATATTGGCGGCTTGCTTTCACTCCATTCCAGAGACTTTTGACTGCCCCATCTAGCAAAGAGCCTGGTATTTTTTGTGGTCTCCCATCAAAGTCTTAATTGGACCTGATCTTGCTATTACAGTATCAAGTATTCAATTTTTAACCCTGCTTTTATTTCTCATCAACTCAAAAAAATATACCTAAAGTCCCCTCCTCCTATTTTTTTTTCAACAACATTTTTTTCACTATTGGGCTGAGGGAGAGGGACTGGCCCAAAGTCACCTAACTGGCTTCCGTACCTAGACTACTATGTTCTCTTGTGTGGGAAGTCAGTCCCCTAGAGAAGGAAATATTAAAAGGGCAGAAAAATATATTTCCTCAAAGAATCTTAAAGAGGCAGAAAAGCATGCCCAGTTTTTCTTAATAGCCCCAAGTCTCCCTCCCCCAAGCAGAAACCAGCTCTGTAGAAATGCAGATGGAGACCATTCAGGAAAGTTGGAGCTAGAAGCTTAGGAAGACAAAGACACCTAAAATCTACATAGCCCACCCAAAGTCTAAGACAGGACATAATAGGATTAACTCAACAGATGCCAAAGAAACACAGGTCAAAATACATGACACAGGAAATACAAAGCCTCAAACAGGAACAGGAAATAACCTCCAAACAAAAGGCTCCAGAGGGTATAAAAACCCACTCCCTACATGTGCTCAGCCCTTTTTCCCCTCTTTCCTGCCAGAACCATCTTTCTGTCTGGCTCTCCTGTTCAATAAACTGCAACCTTCTTTCTAAAGCAGTCACCATGTTGTTTATCCCCGGCTTGGACTGCACCATGATGCAGACTTTTCCTTCAACACTTGGTTTCTTTGACACAATACCAAAGCTCTCCTGATCAGGCGATCAGCCAAGGGCTGAAGGATCAAAAAATAAAATAAAATAAAATCTGAAAGAATATGATGCAATTTATTTTCATTCGAGCACCATCTGTTTTTCTAAGAAAATGCATTAGGGTTCACTTTTCATGCACAAAAAAAAAATCTCACAGTGATCCACTGGCCCCAATATTTTTTTATAAAAGGAATCTGGGTACCTAGAGATGAATAGAGATGAACTAAGCTATTTTGTGATTAATGGTGTATGTGGATGTGTGTGTGTATCTGTCCCCTGAAATACAGAGATAATAGGTTTGGAAAATATTTATTTTTGTGACGGGAACAATAAAGCTATTGTGTTAAGCAGGGGGAAATACTATTTCCTTCTTCTTCCCCTGACATTTCAACTCTAAAGCTCACGGAGCAGGTGGCTCTATTGCCCTGTGCTAGCTTCTACTGTTTTTTTAGGCAGCTGGCCAAAACTCTAAGAAATAAAATACTTATACATAATTGTGTGGGGGAGAGAGTACATAGAGAGTGACAGCATGAACTAATTATACATTTCCACTTTACTCCATGTCTGTATTCTACGATGAAAAGTCTGTTTCAGCATGTATGGGCACGAATAAACTGTGTCTGTTTCTTCCTGCTAGAAGAGGAATGGGCATTTGAGGATTGTAGAGGTAACCTTTGACCTGAAATAGTTAAGTGGTCAATCCAGGTTCCTGGGCAGGTACCCAGGAACACCTTGGAGAAGCATGGCCTAAAGAAGTCAGAGAAATTGCTCTTTGATGGACTTCATAAAAAGAGAGGGGGAGTAAGCTCAATTTTGCTTTTCTTTGTTCTTATTAAGCCTACGACAGTGATGGCGAACCTTTTAGAAACCGAGGGCCCAAAAACTGGCCCCGCCCCTGCTCCACCCCCACTCCACCTGCCCGCAGGGCCACACATCGCCTCCAGGACCTGCTGCAGATCGCCCAGCAGCGCCATGGCAGCCACGCTCTCTGCTCGCGCCCCGCAGGATCAACTGTGCGCGATGGGGCGTGAGGGCAGAGTCTTGTCTACGCTGCCTGGCTGCCATGTCCTTGGCTGCGCTGCTCCGTGTGGGCCATGCTCGGGGGCGACTGGTGGTGAGGAGGGGGTCACAGGGGGAGGCAAGGCTGGGGCAACGGCACGTTTGCCCACAGAGAGAGCTCCGAGTGCCGCCTCTGGCACCCATGCCATAGGTTCGCCACCACTGGCCTAGGAGGAGGAGGAGGAGGAGGAGGAGGAGGAGGAGGAGGAGAGGGATCCAATTCAATGTAGCCCCTGGTCCTGCTCATTTTATGAAGCTTTTCCCACCTCATGATGCTGCAAAAAGCTCTTGAATCAATGGGAGGTGAAGATCATGGCAGAAAGGAAAGTCACATATAAATTACTCTTTGTGGCAAAACAAGCTATGGTTGAAAGTCTCTAGTAATGGATGAGGATTGGTAAATGTATTGATAAAGTTGAGAATAAAAATTTCATCTGGAACCGTCCGCCCTTTGAGGCAATCCAAAGAAGCACCAACCTTTATTGTAAACTTAACAGTAACTGAATATTACTTGTCCCTTCCTGACTTTTACTCTCTCCAAAACTAGGGTGGGTCTCTTCTGAGACATTTTCTGCACCCCTCTTTTGGACTCAAATTTTGTTCATTGGATTATTGCCTAGGCCAGGGGTAGGCTACCTCGGCTCTTTTATGACTCATGGACTTCAACTCCCAGAATTCCTGAGTCAGCTATGCTGACTCAGGAATTCTGGGATTGAAGTCTATGAGTCATAAAAAAGCTGAGGTTGCCTACCCCTGGTCTAGGCTGTGGCTATTCTTCCTATTTCCAAAGGTCATTCCTACATACCATTACAGGTACCAGGTTTTCTGCAGGTTATGGTAAAAAAAAAAGTAAATATTGTATGGTTGCTAGGATGGGGTGCTCATCATAAACAGAAAAAGCAGGTAGTGTCAATCACTCCATTGCATCAGCCCTCTTTTTGACCCTATCCTGCAGACGTACTTTGGGTCTGATACCAGATGAATCAGTTAAGGGAGCGCTTCAAAAGAGCAACAAAGTTGGGGATTTAATTTGTACCAACCATGTGGAGAAAACACATCAGAAACTTCAGCACCACATAATTGTGCTCAGGAAGTCTGTGTACAATGTCTTTGCATCTGGCCACTCGCAAGCTACTTTCCACACCTATAAGAAAAGACAAGGGATTAACCATTTCATTCACCGAGTCTAGTTGAATTCATCTCCTGAAGTGGCCTGGGTGGATGAAACTTCAATAAGGTGAAAATAAATGCTGCCTTATGTTGAGTTTGATTCCTCCACAATACGTCTGTGTAATATTTAGTGCAACCGTAGGGAGAATGAAGCTGAAAAAGACAGGATCAGCAAAATCTGCAGACCTAAAGACTACTGGAAAATAACACTATACCAGTGATGGCGAACTTTTTAGAGACCTAGTGCCCAAACTGCAACCCAAAACCCACTTATTTATTGCAAAGTGCCAGGGTCGCATCAGCATTGTGGTTCCCTCAGGGAGGGAGGGGTGTGTGGCCCTCTGGGTGGGCGTGGCCAGGTAGGCGTGGCCACCTCGATACTCTAACATCTCTACTTGAGCTTGCTAGCCGGCCATTTTGCCTGCTTTGTGCTGGGCAGGGCTGCTGCTCCGGGCAGCGGCAGCCTAATGGACCTGCACGAGCTGCTAGTGGCTGCAGTGGGCGTGCCCACAGAGAGGGCTCTGAGTGCCACCTCTGGCACGCGTGCCCTAGGTTCGCCACCACTGCACTATACCCTATCACCCCATTGAAGAAGATGCACTAAGTATTTTTGTACACGCATTCATTAATAGCTATATATACTCACATTAGGAAACATGCTCAGATATTCCTCAGTTAGGATGACAATTACTAAACCAAAAGGTTGTTGATTGCAATTCCATCCCTTTTTATACTGCATTAAGCGTGCAAAAGTGGACAGGGCTTCAGACGTGGGTGTGGTCACCATCTCAACTTTTTTGACCTCCTGACACCCCTTGTTCCCAATCTCTTATTTATTTCAATTATTAAATGTCTCAACCCTATTCATCTTTTCTGGAATAAATTTATTTATTTATTATTTATTTATTATTTAAATTTATATACCGCCCTATCTCCCTTACGGGACTCAGGGCGGTGAACAGGCAATAATAAAAATCACAATAAATATTGAATAAAAAGCCTGCTCTAAAATACCCCATATAAAACTCTTAGCAAAGCCCAATCAAAACTACGCCAGGCTGGCCGCATGGAATAGATGGGTTTTCAAGGCTCGGCGGAAGAGGCGCAGGTCCGTAGTTGTACGTAGGTCGGGGGGGTAGGTCATTCCAGATCAAGATCAATTCGGTGCAGGCCTTACCACAAGACAGACGGTTCCTCTAGTCTAGAAGTAATCCTTTCTAGGGTCACTCAATCCTTTTGCCTAAGTCTGGACATGAAGCCTAAACAATGGCACTTCAGATGGATTTACCACTTTTGATATTCTAGCAAACTCCTACTCAGATGGGCAGGGAATACTCCTATTTTGCTTGAGCTCCACACCCATATCGAGAACCTTCATCCTTTCCCAAGTCATCACGTGCTCCACTCACAACATAAAAAAAAATGAGTTTTTCATTTTTCTTCCTTCCAAGCAATCCCAGAATTAAAAACCCAGGTTTCTTTCTTCCACCCTTTCATAGCAATGGAATTGTTGCTGTTCTTTTTCCAGTCCAGGATGTGGGAGGCTTCTTCATTGTGTTTTCATAATGACCTTCTCTCTCTTGGGTTTTCTGCTCCCATCTTGCTGCTGCAACCTCACGCCCAACTCAAATTCAGTCTTCCCTTTTTTTCAAATTCCAGAAGATACGAGAGAGGAGCAGGACCAAATATGTCTCTGTGTCATGGCCAACCAAATTTTGTAGGCTTTGCACAGGTCTCATGGGGCTCAAAGGAATATATGCAAAATCTGATATTAAAGTGAAAAGCAAGTTTCCAGCCCAAACACCTAGAGAGGGTGCATCATGACATGTTAATCTCCTTTGCAGAGATCTACATCTCTGAAAAAAATTCTCTAGCTTCACCATGTTTTGCCATTCAGAAAATATGCTGTTATCAGTCGAAAGTACAGATGAGTCAAAGCCATGTATCTGAGGAAAGTGACTCACTAGTGATTTGAATGATCTGATCGTACATTGGGAAGGTCAGTAAAGGTTCGGGGAGTTCTCGGAGAAAAGCCTTCAGGAGTACTCCAGGGATGTGAATATCTCCATATTCATCAAAATCAACAGATTTTCCTGCAACAGAAAATGCCCAAGAATACATATAAGAAAATTTAAACCAGAGGATTTAATTCAAACATCCTTCATACCCTTTCCTGCACTCAGTCATTCAAGCCCTGGCCATCTCACCCTTGGACTACTGCAATGCAGTCTACATGGGGCTACCCTTGAAGAACCTTTGGAAGCTTCGACTGGTGCAGTGCAGCATTGTGGGCAATCTTTGGGGCCCCTAGAGTGGCCCATGTTACATCACTCTTCCATGAGTTGCACTCATTGCTGGTTTGCTCCCGGGTGCAATTCCAGGTGTTGTTTACTACTTATGAAGTCCTGCGTGGCATGGATCCTGATTACCTGAGGAACAGACCTGGCTCTGCCAGTTAGTTTGCAGCTCCAATGAGGAGGGTGACACTGGAGGTAGTTGATCAGCTAACAGCAGCTTCCATCTCACCCACATACACTGTTCTTTTCCTCCCCGTCTTTTAGTCTTAGTTACAATTTGTATTTTATTATGATTTTATTATGGTTTTACACATTTGTGTGTGTATATGTGTATGTACACACACACACATACATATACAGTACATACATATACATACATACATATACATATGGGCAGCTTACAACATCAAAATAAATCTATCATCTATTTCTATCATCCATCCATCCATCCATCCATCCATCCATCCATCCATCCCTATCTATCTATCTATCTATCTATCTATCTATCTATCTATCTATCTATCTATCTATCTATCTATCTATCTATCTATCTATCTATCTATCTATCTATCTAATCTATCTATATTTTGATGTTATAAGCTTCCCATCAGTGCCCTGAAGCGAGATGGGCAACACTCCATTTTGCATACCTACCCAACTACCTACCTACTTCATAACCTCAAGACCCTCCTTGCTACAGCTATAATTTGATCATTATTTCCATATTTTCAGTGGCTCTAAGCTGGCTCAAATGCAGATCTTTTCCACTTAGTTTGTGAAGTTTATCAAATGCTACGTTTATTTTTTTTCAAAGCAATTTGATTTTATATCAGATAAGAGATAGAGTAATCTTATACTGCATATTCTTTTTTCCCTTATTGTGGTGACAATGGTATGTTATTATCTAGCAGCAAGATACTTGCACTATACAAACATTTCATAAAATGACTCCAGTGCATTTCACAAATGATTTCTTTTGACATCGTATCTACAGGAAAAAGCACTTAAAAAAATAAAATAAAGCAAAAAGCAGAGGAGGTGATATTGCTGTTTAGAGCAAATCAAGCTATGCGGGATTCAAAATTTGTCATTTCATAGCTGTTATGAAGCCATCAATATAAGCTGGTCACGATTCATTGTTTAAACTGCTTTAAATGCTGGTCCTAGCTTCTTCTTTCTTGATTTAAGGTTACGATGGCATCTCTCCAGTCCCTGAAAGACCTAGTGTGGAGTGGGGAACTGGTTAAATTAAAAAGAAAATTATCTTACTACTGTAGTATATATTTTGGGGGACCGCATTTCTAGTATATTAACTAACCATGGTAATTGGGGGGAGTCAGGATATCCTTTCCTCATAAGAATGAAGGGGGGGGTGTTTGTTTAATAAATCATATATCTAATATTTTCTTTTAATATTATGAGAGACCAGTAACATGCACCAGAGAGATTGAAAAGCCAGTGTTTATCAGTGACTATTATAATTAAATCAAGGAAGGGAGACTGCTTGAATCAAGACAGTAGAAAGTGTGTTCCTGAGGTGTTCCTTTAATTGCCAGTTTTCCCTTTGTAACCCTCCCCCAAATATTCACAAGCCCAAATTGGGAGCCTTAGTTGCATTTTTGATGCTCTGGATAGGTTTTAAGAAAGTAAAACATTTTTCCTTATGCTTTGCAGAGGTCATCTTGATTTTATAACCCCCCTCCTCTGGGACCACTCGCTTGCAGCCAACTCGCTGTGGGACAATTTGCCACGAAACAAGAGTTACACTAACATCGAAGAAATTGTAGAATCATTAAAGAAAGAATGCCAAAGGAGGGACAAAATGAAATGTGAATGACAAAAATTAAAATTATTTTTAAAATTATTTTGAATTAAATAGTTCTGCAGCAAGTTGGCCATGGTGAGTGGTCCTGTGGTGAATTAGCCACGGTGAGTTGGCTGTGGAGAGTTGCCTCATTCCGCCTCATAGCTGCACTTGCCCAGGTATGCACAAATTTTTCACTGTGAATGTTTGACCACCTTCCCACCCGCTCTGGAATTAAGGAGAAACTTCCTCACAGTGAGGACAATCAACCAGTGGAATAGCTTACCCCCAGAAATCGTGGGTGCTCCATCACTGGAGATTTTCAAGAAGAAACTAGACATTCACCGGTCTGAGATGGTATAGGTTCTCCTGCTTGAGCAGGGGGCTGGACTAGAAGACCTCCAAGGTCCCTTCTATTCTATTCTATTCTATTCTATTCTATTCTATTCTATTCTATTCTACTCTACTCTACTCTATACTCTACTCTATTCTTCATTCCATATTCCATTCCATTCCATATTCCATTCCATTCCATTCTATTCTTCATTCCATATTCAATTCAATTCAATTCAATTCAATTCTATTCTATTCCATTCCATTCCATTCTATTCTACTCTATTCTACTCTACTCTATACTCTACTCTATTCTTCATTTTATATTCCATTCCATTCCATATTCCATTTCATTCCATTCCATTCCATTCTATTCTTCATTCCATATTCCATTCCATTCCATTCCATTCTATTCTATTCTATTCTATTCTATTCCATTCCATTCTACTCTACTCTACTCTATACTCTACTCTATTCTTCATTTTATATTCCATTCCATTCCATATTCCATTTCATTCCATTCCATTCCATTCTATTCTTCATTCCATACTCAATTCCATTCTATTCTATTCTATTCTATTCTATTCTATTCTATTCTATTCTATTCTATTTTCCATTCCATTCCATTCTATTCTACTCTACTCTATACTCTACTCTATTCTTCATTTTATATTCCATTCCATTCCATATTCCATTTCATTCCATTCCATTCCATTCTATTCTTCATTCCATATTCTATTCTATTCTATTCTATTCTATTCTATTCTATTCCATTCCATTCCATTCCATTTACAGATGCCCTTATCCCTTGCCTATCTAATATGGCATTTCACTTTTTAAAGGGGTTTGTGATTAATCAAACAACTAATGGAAATTAGTCTATGTTTGCATGCCAGGGTTTTGGTTTGTTTTTTGCTTTTTTACTTCTTGCTAATAAAAGGGCCACTTACCTTGATTGTAAAGTTTTTGAATCTCCTGAATACTTTTGATGCCAGCTGATCTTCGAAACAGACCTTCCGTTTTAAGTCCTTGAAGAGGGAAAAGACTAAAGTGACTTTTTGCCACTATCTTTCATTTGACCTTCTAAATTAAATACTCAGCATTCTTGTGAATATAGATGTTATTTTTCCAGTACATACTGGTTCATATTAGCCAATTGTTTCGCTTGTTTCACCAGAAATCAGGTGAAGGTAATTTTTTCTCCACCTTGCTGCACTGTTGTGATTGTTTAGTGTTCCAAGGTTTCTGCAGGCAAAGTGTGATCATCACAGCCCAATTCTCTTGCATAACAAAAGCATTTATGCAGAGACGTTTACTCAAGCAAAGTAGGCATCAGTAGAAATCTAAGCTCCAATTTGCATCTTCTGTTTTATGAGCTGGAAAGAACTGAAAACGAGCCTATTGTTTTGCCTGGTTGTATGTGATGCTGGGTGCATGGAAGAAGCAAAGGGCTCACAAAGACATTTGGTCGTTGCTTTCAAAGAGTGAGAAAAATATTGGTCACCACTTTATGTAAAGTGGTTGAAAGTCCTTCAACCTTGGCTACTTGAAGAAGTATGGAATTCAGGGAGTTGAAGTCCACACGCCTTCAATTTGTTTGTTAAATTTATTTGCCCTAGTCTGGAGGTCCCCAACCTTTTGGGCATCAGGGACCAGTTCTGTGGAGAAAGATTTTTCCGTGGATCAGAGCGTGCGTGGTTGTGTGTGCTGCCTGCATCCCACGGATGGGGTTTTGCTTGTTTGTGCAGACCGGTTGCTGGCATGCCGTGGCCCGGTACTGGTCCATGGACCGGGGGTTGGGGACGCCTGCCCTAGCTTTTCAATTTGCCAAGGTGAAGAAATACTGGGTTAAGAGGTGTTCGCTTAAAGATACATGTGGAGACTCCTTCACCTTCACCTCCTTCACTAGACATACCCAATGGAATTGGGTATGTCTAGTTTAATGAAGAGAGGGATGAGGGGTGACATGATAGCAGTCTTCTAATATCTCAGGGGTTGCCACAGAAAAGAGGGAGTCAAGCTATTCTCCAAAGCACCTGAAGGCAGGACAAGAAGCAATGGATGGAAACTAACCAAAGAGAGAAGCAACCTAGAACTAAGGAGAAATTTCCTGACAAGTTAGAACAATTAATCAGTGGAACAACCTGCCTCCAGAAGCGGTGAATGCTCCAACACTGGAAGTTTTTAAGAAGAGACTGGACAGCCATTTGTCTGAAATGGTATAAGGATTCCTGCCTGAGCAGGGGGTTGGACTTGTTGACCTCCAAGGTCCCTTCCAGCTCTATTCTCTTCTATTCTAACCTGGGAGAATGGCTATTCATCCTCTCTGCACTAGCAGGGGTCTGAGGCCTCCTTTTGCCTTGACCCAAAAACTTTTAATCCAGGATCTGAACAGCACATGTGTATTTCCATGGTTTGATTAACTATTCTTCTAGCAATAGCACTTAGACTTATATACCGCTTCACAGTGCTTTACAGCCCTCTCTAAGCAGTTTACAGAGTCAGCATATTGACCTCAACAATCTGGGACCTAATTTTGCTGACCTCAGAAGGATGGAAGTCCTTTTTAAAAACAAACAAACAAACAATTGACAAAAAAGGCCCTCCCAAGGTCAAGACTTTTCTCATCAAGAAAATCATAGATAATTTTTGGTCTTATCAACATGCTTCATGTTATTTCTTATACCTCTCTTCAGGAAAAATATCATCTGGTCAAAATCTACTGTATTGCCTCAGTTAAAAACCCATTTATCCTCTGAGTAAGAATTGCTGTGAAGAGTTTATAATTTGCATTCAATAATTATGTAAGCCTGTATGCTTCAGGACACGGTGAATCTTTCCTTCTTTATAAATCAAGGAAATTAAAGACTTTTTTCATTATATTCTTCATATATCTGAATTTCTTTCATTGCTCTATTCAGAATTTCTTGAAAACTCTTGTAATGTATTGGAGAAATATCAGGCCCTGCATTGTATTCATTTTTAATTGCTTATTTGCTTCTATCTTCCAATAAAGCTTTGATTAAGAGGTTCCTTTTTTTGGCCCGTAAATTTTTAAATTAATATTCCATTCAAATGTTCTTCTGTTTTTGCTAGCTGCAAGATTGCATTTTTGTTGTATAATTCCAAAAAATAATTATGAATTGGCAAGTAAGATCTATTGCTTCAGAGTTATTTGATTCCATTCCAAATATAAATTTCATTCTTTATTCTGTTTCTTCCATAATGGATAAGCTAACAATTTGGTTTTTTTACATTTCTCAATGTAGGATAAGAGTCAACTGTAAATTTTGGGATTACATCCAAGTCACCTATTACTATTGGTATTACCTTTGCTTTCTTTTGCCACAGTTATTAGAATTATCTGTTTTTATGATTTCATTACTTTAACGCAGCCCAGAGTTGCCTGTGATGAGATGGGTAGCAAAATATTTTAATAAATAAAAATAAATAAATATCCCCACTGCAAAAAAAAAAGAAAATTCCTCAGGGAAAATACCCACCCCTATTTAGGTCTGTCTTTGCCTCCAGCCCTCTCAATCAACCCATTTGTATTTGGATATAATTATGATTGCGTCTCTCGTCCAAATGCACCTCTGGGAAAAAATCTCCTATAGAACCTTCAGGATGAATTAGGAAAGGGCCCTGCTTATGTACTTCATAGCCACTGATGTCACTGTTCAGACCAAAGAGGAAAATATGTGTGTGTGCATCATTACTTAGTTTTATCTCAGATTCAGAGCCCTCCCTCTCTCTCTTTTTTCCTTCCAGGCACTCAGAAGTTAAATGGAAAGCTCTCTTTGTTTTTCCAAACCACAATAACAGGGAGAGTCAAGGCTGGACTTACATCAGCAAGTCAGTTTCCATGGCTGAAAGGGACCTGGGTGACTTTCACCTTTCGTGTGCTGGTTCTGAACGCTTGTGAAATGGTTTTTACACTCTAGCTACATTGACATTTGCAATTCTTTGCTTTAAAGTGGAAGGGAATCCTTACCTTTTTTTTTCAAGTAAGCCACTGTGTGATTCATTACAGGTGGGATTAATTCCCCTTTGTTTTTAGCACTGAGGCTGTTGGAGAAAAAGAAAACAGGCTGAAACATGATCTGAACAAAAATCACAGCATTGTAAAAGCTATCTCAATTCTAATCTGTTAACCTGCCTTTCTTTAAAAAAAAAAAAAGAAAGAAAATATTTCAAAAAAAGAGGACAATGTTTTGATTTTGATGCTGTGCCTACCATCTTGGTAGATTTTGACACATACCCAGTGGTGGGATTCAGCCAGTTCGCACCAGTTCGGCAGAACCGGTAGCTATTTTTTTTTGTTGCCAGGGCCCAGAATGGACTTCCGGAAGCGGCATCCACACAGAGAACAGGTTGTTCACATATTTGAATCCCACCACTGCACATACCCCCATACAGAGAAAAAAAATTATTTGATAGCAAGTTGTTACTTGGAACATCCAGTGTGAAAAGAAAATTAGTCTTGGAGCTCATTCAGCATAACTTCAGAAGAATTCCTTAACAGGGTAAAAGCGAAATGTGTATCTTCAGAGAAATAGTTTTTTCAGCCTTGTTTAAGGAAATACGATTTATTTATTCATTCAATCAATCAATTTCTATAGCTGCCTGTCTCAACCAGTGACTCTGAGCAGCTTACAGTTCTAAAAATATAAAGGCAATTAAGCCTTAAAAAAATAAATAAATCAAAGTATCCAAAATAAATACATATAGCAGCTGAGATAATTAACCAATTAACAGTAAAACCTAGAAACAGGGTCCTTAACATATTCAGAGCCCCAGCTCTGGGTACACGGCCAGGTTTTTAAAGCCTTACGAAAGGCCAATAGGGTTGGGGCCATTCTAATTTCCAAGAGGAGAATATTCCAGAAAATAGGGGCCACTGCAGAAAAGGCCCATTTTCTGGTCCCCACCAGCTGACACTTCTTGGCTGACGGGATTTGCAGCATGCCTGATCTGATGGATCAAACTGGATGGGTAGAAACTCTTGGGAAAAGGCATGTAACCTGGCCTCAAGTCATGTAGATTCGGGATTATATGTTATGATTAACGTTATGATTTCTCATAAAGTTCTTTTCAACAAGGAGATACGATGTTCATAAGTATTTTGTGGTTTGCAAGACTTTGGATTTGATTCCAAAAAGTGGCTTTGAGCAAACACACCTCCTGTCTGCAACCCTTTAAAACAGTTGAATCATCTCCTGACATTAGATAAGATATTTTATCCCACCTTTATAAATAACTCAAAGCAGCAAACTTGCTTAAAACTCCTACCTATTTTCCCAAGGGTTGGGCTGACAGAGTGTGACTGGCCCAAAGTCACCCAGCTGGCTTTCATGCCTAAGGTGGGACTAGAATTCACAATCTCCGGGCTTCTATTCTAGTGCCTTAACCATCTCCAAAGTATATCCTTCCTTCCTTCCTTCCTTCCTTCCTTCCTCCCTCCCTCGCTCCCTCCCTCCCTCCCTCCCTCCCTCCCTCCCTCCCTCGTTCAACTGTGGAATATTCTGGCATGTCCTGGATTGTTCTGGATCATGTAACCCTGACAAGAGCATGTAGATCTGTATGTTGGAATGTTTGGCATTTATTGGGTTAAATGCTGTCTCCTTAAGAGATGGCTTGTGGGTAATGTAGTTTAGGTAGTTAGCTATCCCATGTTAACAAGTATGTAGGAGGAGCCACTAAAGTTCATCACAGGATATCCTGGCCATGTGCCAGTTTGGAATGCCTTTGTCTGAGATAAGCATGGGACCACCGGAGGACTCAGATGGTCTCATTCCATGTTAGAAGTTGGTGTGGAGGAAGTATTAATTTCTTACCTATAAGGATGAACAGATGTATATTATCCAGAAGCAACAACCATAACTGCAAGTATTTCTGGATAAAATGTCTCTTTTATAATCATTCTTATTGAGTTATCTGTATGATCTGGATTTACAAAGCAACTTAACTCTGGATCAGAACATTAAGAAATTAATACTTCCTCCATACCAACTTCTAACATGGAATGAGACCATCTGAGTCCTCCAGTGGTCCCATGCTTATCCAAACTAGCAGATGGCCAGGATATCCTGTGATGAACTTTAGTGGCTCCTCCTACATACTTGTTAACATGGGATAGCTAACTACCTAAACTACATTACCCACAAGCCATCTCTTAAGGAGACAGCACTTAACCCAATAAATGCCAAACATTCCAATATACAGATCTACATGCTCTAGTCAGGGTTACATGATCCAGAAGATGGATCATACTATCATAGGTCAAGATCCTGGAAAAGGGATCACTACGAATACATATTTAGCCAACATCATTCCTGGTATTGATTATCTGAAGACTCAAAGGTGGGAAGTTGTGTGTTATACAGCCAAAAGTTTCCCTCACTTTTTGAAAATTAAGTGCCCAATTTAAGTTCACACAGGAGAGTTCTGTGAGATGACAAGGATAATTAACCAGTCTCAAAGAATTCCATGTCCATAAATGGAAAATTCTGTTATTTGAGAAGGGTTTAGTTTTGGTACTTTAGAAATCGACAGAAAGCTCCTACTAACAGTAGCAGGAGTGGCGTGGCCAGTATGAACATCAATAGATCTTCAGAAGGACGGTGAGCATTTTTCAAGGCTGTCTGACTAAGGGACCATCCAGTTGATCTTTTTATCCAGAAGATGTCAAGCTTGATGTCTTATCTCCTTTAAGGTCTAATCTCCTTTAAGGTTTAATCTTATTAACAAGATTTCCACTGTGCTTTAGTCCAAAGAATTTCAGGCAGCGTGCAATTTCCATGGTGCATGGGACACCATCCAAAAATTCCCAATTTCCTAACTCAAGTTGGGACCTAAAATAAAACCAGGGAAAATGGATGATGATGTTCCTGCCAAGAAAACATCTTGAACATCAATCACCTCATCAGGGTTTTTGTTGATCTTGAAAGATTGAAGGCCCCTAGCTGACTTTGGGCCATTCCCTTCTTCCCAGCCAAATCAAGTCCTCAAGGTTATTTATCAGTTTAAAATGAGGGAGTCCCTCTATTTGTTAAAACAATGTATAAATCTATCTAAACAGATATGAAGTGACATGGGGGGATGTAATTGAGTTTGGCTGAAATATGAATTCATCCACTCAGGATCAGCTCCACGACCCATGTGGCTGAGCCCCCACATCATACTTAGAAGCACCAATATAAGGAAAGCTCATAAGTTTGCTTCAGATAGAAAACACAAGACAGTTATTCCTTCTCTGATCATTCTTTCACCATTGCGGCTCACCGCATTTGTCTTAAGCAAAGGAGAA